ACAGGGTCACTATGGGTCAGAACCAACTCTATGACACTTCACAACAACAATAACAACATTGCAAGTGGAGTCACTTCTGATCTTAGTGGCCCTCTAGGACAGTGAAGAACTGTCCCATCGAGTGTCCATGGGGAAACAAGAGATCACATTTTCTGCTGTAGGGCAACTGGTATGTTCAAACCACTGAGCACTTAACCACTCCTTTTACAGGCACAGGGGTTAAGATATCAATACATACAAGGGGGCTTCAAAAAGTTTGCAGAAATACGGAATTGAAAGGCAGTGGAATTTTTCCATGAACTTTTTGAAGACTGCTTGTATACAAAGGCAAATCTAAAAGTTGTTGTTGTTGTTAAATGCCGTCGAGTCGATTCCTACCCATAGCGACCCTGTACAGGGTTTCCAAGGTTGTAAATCTTGATAGGAGTAGAAAGCCTCATCTTTCTCCCACGAAGCAGCAGTAATGCAACAAAATCATAGAAATTTTTACTAAATAAAAATATCAAAATGTGAAGCTATTGTGTCTCTTTCTGAGTCTATACACTTCTAAAAATGTTTCCATCTGTCTAACATTTTCCTGAAAAATTCTGTGCTTTTTTATTTAAACCATGTGAAAATAGCAGTTTGGGCATCCTTGAGCGATTCAAATCATGCTCATTTTAAATGTCCATTGAGTTTGGAGAATTAAAAAAAGAAGTCTGAAGGAGCTGAATCAAGGATTTAGGGTGAATGGGATACAGTTTCCCAATGAAATTCTTCAAGGACAGCCCTTGTTACCCTTGAAAAATGGGCAGATACATTGCCTTGATGGAAAATAAAATTATTTGGTGCTCAGTAATGCAGTTTTCAGTTTTCATAAAACTTCTTCTTAATAAGCACCCATGATTATCCTGTGTCCTTTAAGAAAATCTATCAAGATTAGACTTTTGGAATTCTAAAAAAACATTCACCATAACCTTCTGAGCTGATCCCTCTGCGTTGAATTTAACTGGCCCAATAGATCCCCTCAGAAGCCACTGTTTGTTTGTTTGTTTGTACTTTTTATTGTGAACTGACTGAAGGTTTAAAGAACAGGTCATCAGTTTGACATTCAGCAAGTCATGTACATTTTTTGTCATCTCCTAGTCTGTGATCCCCTCAGTGTAGGATCACTTATCCCATTTCCTCCCTATGCTTCCTCTTTTGATTTTTCCTTCTTCCCTAACCTTTCTCAACAATGTCCTTGGGTAAATGCTACCCTTTTGATTTCAAATGGTTGATCATTCTCAGATGCACTTACCTCACTAGTATTGTTGTTGTTAAGTGCTGTCAAGTTGTCAAGTCGATTCCAACCCATAGCGACCCTGTATAGGGTTTCCAAGGAGCAGCTGGTGAGCTTGAACCACCAACCTTGCAGTTTAAATGACTTTGCAGTTTGACACATTAGCCCACAGTGCCACACCAGGACAGATCTGTCTATTGCTTGGCTGAATAGTGAGCCACAGGGGTGATTAAAGGCCAGTATCTTGAGGGTTCTACCAGTCTCCCTCTGACCAGTAATCCTGGTATATACACACACACACACACACACACACACACACACATATATTTAATTTTGACTTTTGTTCCACATTTTTCTCCCACTCTATTTAGGACTTTCTAATGTGATCCCTTTCAGAGCAGTTTGGTAGTGTTAGTCAGGAGCCATCTAATTCTTGTCTCAGGGTTGTGGATTGTTTCCATGTGTCTTTGATTTTCATCAATGGTCTTCCCTCCAGACAGGGAGACAGCAATGCACCTTAGATGGCTGCTCACAAGTTTTGAAGACCCCAGTCACTACTCATCAAAGTAGGAGGTAGAACTCTGTGGACTGTGTTATGTCAATAGATCTTAGTGTCCCCCCAAGACTATGGTCCTGAGCCTCCATGACAAGTGAATCATTATCTCAAGGTGTTTGGTTATGTCTAAGAAGTTGTCATAACTTTGTCCCCTGTATGCTCCATCACATTTATGGAAATATTTTCAACAAAGGTAAATACTCATGTACAAATATCTTCTGTCAAACCTACATATATTTGTGGGTATACTCCCACTCTATCCCCACACCCTTTCAATCTGTGTATCTATCCATTGTTGTTGTTAGGTACCATCCAGTCGATACCGACCCATAGCGACCTTATGCAGAGCAGAATGAAACACTGCCCGATCCTGGGCCAACCTCACTACTGCTGCCACACTTGAGTCCATTGATGCTGCCACTTGGCCAATCAATCTCGTTGGGGGTCTTCCTCATTTTCTCTAACCATCCTCCACCTTACCAAACATGGTATCTTTCTCCAGAGACTAGTCCCTCCTGACAGTACGCCCGAAGTATGAGAGACTAAGTTTGGCCATCTTGGCCTCCAAGGAGCACTCTGGCTACACTTCTTCTAAAACGGATCTTTTGGCAGCCATGGCACTTTCAATATTCTCCTCCAACAGCATAACTCAAAAGCATCAATTCTTCTACGGTCTTCCTTAGTCATTGTTCAGCTTTTGCATGCATATGAGGTTGTTGAAAATACAATGGCTTGGGTCAGGCACACCTTAGTCCTCAAGTTGACATCTTTGCTCTTCAACACTTTAAAAAGGTCTTGTGTAGCAGATTTGCCTAATGCAATACGTCGTTTGATTTCTTGACTGCTGCTTCCATGATTGTTGATAGTTGATACAAGAAGAAGGAAGTCCTTGACAACTTCAATCTTTTCTTTATTAATAAGAATGCTTATTGGTCCAGTGGTGAGGATTTTTGTTTTCTTGACATTGAGATGTAATCAATACCAAAGGCTGTGGTCTTTGATCTTCATCAGTAAATGTTTTAAGTCCTCTTCACTTTCAGCAAGCAAGATTGTATCATCTGCATATTGCAAGTTGTTATCACCATTATTGCTGGATTGTGTACATAACAGTATTTACCTTGTTGCCATGAACTGTTTGATTGCACCTTGCTCTCTGGATCACTTTGGTAAATCCAGCACTCTTCCACAGTTTTGATTCATTCCATAAAATTGTCTTCATTAACTTCAACCTTACCTAAAAGACTGTGGGAAGATCAGTTCTTTGAGCTACCTGATCTTTGCTCCACACTTTTGGCACTCAGGTTGCTGAGGCCAAGATGTACATTTCAAACTGAGAATGCAGATTTTGTTTGTAACAAATCCCTGCATGTATGAACTGGAGCCCTAGTAGCAATACTTTTTGACTTACAGTCATATTTTTGGAGGGCACAATTCAATACTGGACACGAGCAAGGCAAGCTCCAAAGAGCCAAGGTGTGAGTATCTCCCCCCCATCCCAAGGATCCAGTTGATGGGAGGGTGGGTGTGAATCCTGCAGGTCTCCCCAGGCAGCTCTAAGCCCTAGCACTTAGCAGGGTTCACACCACCACATGCTTTAGATTAGTGTATTCTTTCCCAGAAGCTCCAGGCCATCAGCACCTGACCATATCCTGTCTCATGCAGCAACAATGAGAACCAGTGAGCAGTCCACCCTTGGAGAGACCCCTGGTTTCTCCAGCTGTAGGTTATAACTAAAAAGTGCAGAATTCAGACTTAGAGCCTCTTTAACAAATCTAGCCTATGCTACTCTATGTGACTTGGGGCAATTCACAAAGGTGATGCTCCGCCTTCGAGGGCTCCCTCATCAACAGAGGCACTGGTCATATGATGGTCTACCTTTTGAGGATTGGCAGGGATTGAGTACCATCACACTGACGAATGAGTGCTTCTGGAACTATACAAAGCTTCTAAAAAACATTCGCACCACTCCCATAAAGCAAATGATCACACCTTGTCTATTTTGACAGCACCCAAACAGAGGCAGCAGTCCTCATTAATGCAAACAATCTACCAGTAGGTGTTTATCAAGCACCTACTCGAGGTCTGTATGTGCAGGATGCGGTCACTGATGTGCCATACATACAGTTAAGCAGAAGAGAAAAGTGCGATACTGAGGAACAAGAACTCAGTGTGGTCTGGGATGTCCAAAGACGTCTTTATGGATGATGAGATGAGTGAACTAGATTATGAAGGGAGAGCAGGATCTTGGAGAGTTTCAGGAGGGAGTGGCAGTCATTGCAGGCATTAGATGTTATCTTTTGGGGAAATCAAGAATATAATCTTGTCAGACTTGTTTTTCAGACACAGTATTATTGACTTCTCTAGGGAAGCCTTTTGTTCTGCTTCAAGGCTGTTGGGTTTAAAAACATCTGGAGGTGGCTGGGGAATGAGGCCCTGGCCATGTAAACCGTCAAATGTGCTTAGCTAACCAAAGGCTGGTGCCTCAGAAGAAAAGCATAGTGATTACTTTCAAAACGTAAGTCATCGAAAACACACCAGGGGTTGCCAGGAGTCAGAGTTGATGCCACAGCAACTGGTTTGGTTTGGAGGTGGTTGGAGAGACTGTGCAGAGGGCTGGGCACCATGCCCTGCCCAAAGCAAGTTGTCTTCTGGGCACCAGATTCATCATCTGGAATACCACAGTAATACACCCCTCTCCAGCCTGTTGGCAAATATCTGCCCCGGAGACCATGGAAAAGAGCAGGGTGGGGATGGAGGTGGGGTGGAGGGACATGTTTAATGAGCACCTCCCATGTGCCCAGACAACCTTACAAATCTCATTGGATCCTCTCAGCAGACCAGGGCTGTCAATGATTTATCATTGACATTTGACTAATGAGGAAATGAAGCCTTAGTTACGCAGTCAGAATGTGTGTTTATTGAGCAAATATGTGAAGACCATCCAAGTGAGGGTGTTTTTCAGAGTGTGGGGGAACTCCTGGGTGGAAAAAAAAACACACCACACCATGGCTGCTAACTGAAAAAGTTGGTGGTTTAAATCCATCCTGAGGTGTCTTGGAAGAAAGGCCTGGTGATCTACTTCTGACAAACCAGCCACAGAAAGCCCTAGTTTCTACTCTGACACCCAGGGGTCTCAATGGGCAGACCACAACTGCTTAACTGGTTATATTTTGGATTCTACAGATGTCTCCATGGAAGCCATTCTGAAACTCTTTGGAGAATATTTCTTTAAATTCTGTAAGATGTCTGGCTATGACAGGATGCTACGGACTCTGGGAGGGGATCTTGTGGAGTTTATTGAAAACCTGGATGCCCTCCACAGTTACCTCGCACTGTCTTATCAGGTAAGGGCACCTGAGTCTGGTGTTCAGGGCAAATTTTCAGGAAGCAGATGCCTGCAGTGAAAGCAGCATAGAATCATCACCTTCCATGAGAGAGAGGGCTGGGTTCAGTGTGTATCTCACGCACACCCGTCTGTCAGCAGAGTTTCAGACCAACACAGATCAAGAAGAAAGTCCTGGTGATCTGCTTCTAAAAACCAGCCACTGAAAACCCTATGCATTGCAACAGTCCAATTTCACTGGGCGCAGGGTCACCAAGTTGGAGGCCAGCTGAACTAACAATAACAACCAATGCCCACAGAAGTTCTGGGCAGTACCCATCCTCCCCAGCAGAGGTGCAACTGCAAAGGACATGCCTCCCATCTGCTGCCCAAGCCTTAGCATATAGTGCCAGCCAGGAAAGAAGTAGAAAATAAATTACTGTTGGTCACTTTTATAAACTTCATGTTGTTAGGTGCCGTTGAGTCAATTTCACTTTTATAAACTAGACCACAAAAATCAAAGAAAGGCAGGTTGGCAAAGCCCCACTTTGTGATGGGTGATGGTCTATCTTGATAGAGCTGATTTGGCCTTGGAATTAAATCTCCAGATTGATCACAATGGAAACAAAGGCTGGAATTCAGTCAGGTTCCTGTGGATTTGGAAACTCTCTCTTAAGGTTTCCTGGCCTGGGTAGAGCTGATAATAGCTTAAGCAGCCAGATTCATGTTATTCATGTATCAGAAGGAACGGCTTGGCTGGGCCAAGGACTGAAAAATCGGAACTCATCCAATTCTGATTAACCCACAGGGTGACTGACTAAGGTGTTAAGAAACTAATTTCCCTATTGGGATATGTCCTTCTGGAGTTCATTCCCTAATTTTGTTGTTTTTAGAGATCAAATGCCTAGGCTCCTTTTTCTTTTTAGAAAAGAAAATGCTTTATTCAAAAGGCAAAGTGCAATTTACATGAATCATAATGGTTTTTATTTATTTTTAGGACAATTTGCAGTTTACTAAACTCTTTAAAAGAAAAAAAAAAAAGACTTCTATATTTAATGCTCATAACCACCCTTGCATGGTTGTCATGAGAGTAATATGAGATTATGCATGTTAAAGTGTCTTATCCATTGTCACCCACCCTGCAGATAAAAAGTATTATTTTCTGCATTTTTTAGATTCAGTCTTGGCAACCTTAAGTGACCCCAAGTAGTTATCATATGAACTATTCAAATATAGAAAGAGCTCAGGCTGTGGATCCACTCTAAACATATTAGCTATGTGAACTTGGGCAAATCATTTGCCTTTTCTGAACCTCATTTTTTAAATATGTTTATTTAATAAATAGATGTCAAATGCCTATTAAGTGCAAAACACTTTTTAGGCATTAGAGATTTAAAAAAAAAAATTTTTTTTAATAGAGAAACAAAACCTAACTCCTAGTCACGTATGGATTAAAAGAAATCACATGTGACATTTCCTAGCTTGGCAATTGGCCCAGAAGAGGCAGTCCATACAGAATACCTCCCTTCGATGGCCTCCCTTTTCTTTCTGTTCAATATGGCCAGTTTTAGAATTACAGCCATCCACATGGCAATTTCACATTTCTTAGCTAATGCACTACAATTAGGATACTAAAAACTAGAGTTTTGTCTCTTCAATAATCTTTCATATTTTTTAATATCCCATTTTGTCATCTAACTATTTGGTTAGTTACTAATTTTATACCACAGTTATGGAGAAGGTACTGCTATTCTTCTAATCATTCATTAAATCAATAAGCATTTATGGAATGCCTTTCATGGTCCAAACATGGTTCTTCACATGTTTCTATTACCCTTATGAATATGAAAGGAAGCTATGTTCTAAAGTCCCAAGTCCTTTCTTTTAATACTCAACCATGATGCCCTGTCTCTAATAGTCCTCCCCCATGTGCTAAACCAATGCAACAGAGGCCACAGAAGAGAACTTCCCTGGGGCATGGGCGTGGGGGAGAGGAGGGAAGAGGACATTTTGCATATGATGAGATAAATAAAATGGATAAAACCAAAAGCTCAATGTACTGAGTTGATTCTAACTCATAGAGACCCTCCTTAGGGTTCATGAGACTAAATCTTTAAGGGAGTAGACTAATGTCATCTTTCTCCCACAGCACAGAACGGCTACCGAGTTTGAACCTCTGCCCTTTGGCCAGTGGTTTGGCCCCAATGCCTAACCCACAGCTCTACCAGCGCTTCTTAAATAAAATATATAAATGTGATAATATGCAAGTTAAAGAAAAAAACATACAATGGCTTGATAGATATATAGTACTTTATACTAAGAAAAGTATTGTAGATTGTTTCTTTAGGCAAAAAGTAAATCAACCCCTTGTATGTGCAAAAATAAATGCTCTCCAAGATAAAGCATTAAGTGAAGAAAGGTGTCAAACATACATTTAAAATTGTTCCACTCATGTACATTTCAAATGATATGTGCATATATACGCACATAATCTTTTGTTTTTCTTGGAAAGATAGAAAGAAAACAGGTAACAGTCAAAACCAATCTTTGGGTGGTGGGACTGGTGGTGGTGGTTATGCACTGTGGAGTCAGTTCCGACTCATAGCGACCCTGTACACGGTTTCCGAGGTTGTAAATCTTTATAGCAGCAGAATGCCTCATCTTTCTCCTGCAGAATAGCTGGTCGTTTTGAACTGCTGACCTTGCGGTTCACAGCCCAATTCATAACCACTACGCTACCACAGCTCCTTAGTGGGCCTGGAGGTTAGAAAATGAATGACATGTAATTTTCACTTTCTTTTCATAGGTTTTTTTTTTTTTTTTTGAAGTACCAGCTTCATATATCATTTATCTAAACATAAACTAAATTTAAAAAAAAAGTAAATCAAATCAAATCAAACAAGGATGATTTGTTTCGTGTCTATTTCTGGCAATTTAGAAGTGCCTTAAGTCATGTATTTCTGGGCGTAAAATTGTACTCTTTGTTGTTGTTTTGTTGTTAAGTGCCATTGAGTCGACTCTGACTCATAGAAACCCTATGTAGGGTTTCCAAACAGTGGCTGGTGGGCTTGAACCTTCAACCTTGTGCTTAGCAGTCTCCTAATCTTGTTATTTTTTCGCTAATTTACTGAGTGCAAATTTTGAATTTGCCACTGGGCTAAGTAATTTATAAACATTGGCTTTTCTTCTTAGCTTCCCTAGTAATGAGAACTCTTATTCTCATTGTATAGATAAGAATTCTGAAGTCTAGAAAGATCAAGGAATGTCCAAAATTACCCACACTGCCATTTAACTAATTACATTTGAAGGAGCTGGGATCTAAACCCAGATCTGTCTGCCTCTCATTTTCCCTTTACCCAGATACTTCATTTTTCAAAAGCTTATCATTTAGAGATTTTGAGACATTGACCAGAGAACTAAAAGCACAAACTTTTTGATGTGTTTCTAGGGTTGGGCTGGTTAGGGGTGAGGAGTTAGGGTGGGGATGTATGTGGAAAACAGTTGTTCCCACTTTTCTGACACCATTTCTCACACCAAACTGTAAGGATCAATTAAATCAATTGAATTTTGTCCCATGTCTTACAGGAGCCTTGGTAATGCTGAGGGATAAGCACTGGGCTGCTAACTGCAAGGTTGTCAGTTCACACCCACCAGCTGCTCTGTGGGAAAAAGATGTGGCTATCTGTTCTCATAAAGATTTATAGTCTCAGAAACGATATATAGGGTCATTTTAAATTGGAATTGACTCAGTGGTAATGGTAGTGGTGGTGGTTATGTGCCGTGGAGTCGATTCCGACTCATAGCGACCCTGTATAGGGTTTTTTTGAGGCTGTAAATTTCTACGGGAGCAGAAAGCCTCATTTTTCTCCCATGGAACCACTGGTAGTTTCAAACTGCTGACCAGGGTGCCAGGTTGCCTACGTGATGGTGGTGGTTCTGTGCCGTGGAGTCAATTCTGACTTGTAGCAACCCTATAAAGGGTTTCTGAGGCTGTAGATCTTTACAGGAACAGAAATCCTCCTCTTCTTCCCACAGAGCAGCTGGCAGATTCTAACTTCTGCAGTTAGTAGCCCAATTTGTAACCCACTCTGCCTATATAACCTACCGGGAATGCCTATATAAGGGAGGAAATTGCTTCTCTCAGAGTTCCCCAGCATGGTATTGCTCCTTGCTTCCTAACAGAATCGGTGTAAACTTGAAACTCGACATTATTCCTGGGGAAAGATATTTTCTGATGAATCCTTGAGGAATTTTGTCTTAATCAGGGATCGCTAAAGAAACAGAACCCTTATATCTCTATCTAGTTAGTGAGCTACTTAGTTAAAAAGAGAGAGAGATTTATCTCAATGAAGTCACCCACAAAATTGTAGAGGACTGGTAAATCCAAAATTCCTATCAGGCAGCAGGCTGGAGACTCCTACAGGTTGTGAAGTCACAGGGGGTGGGGGTTATGGAAAGAGTTGTTATTGTTGTTGTTAAGTGCCGTTAAGTCGGTTCCGACCCATAGCGAACCTGAACAAGGTTTCCGAGGCTGTAAATCTTTACGGGAGCTGAAAGCCTCATCTTTCTCTCGTGGAGCAGCTGGTAGTTTCAAACTGCTGACCTGCGGTTCACAGCCCGACTTGTAACAACTATGCTACCAGAGCTCCTGTGGAGTGGCAAATGAGAGTGAGTTCTGCCAAGATATCTATTCGTAGTCTGACAGCAGATCACACCCTAAGGAGCTCCCCTTTCTAGTGGTTGGTTGATCACCTTGCATTCAATTTCATTGAGTGATTTCATTACATTGACTACCTTGTGGAGCAGCAACTAGGTTAGTTTGGCCAAACCACTGAGAACCATAGCTTAACCAAGTTGACACATAAGTTAACCTTCACAGTTCTATTTTCCAAGTGTTTTTTTCCACAGTTCTATTTTCACACCACAGAAAAAACCTAACTCACTGTCATTGTGCTGATTCTGACTCATAGAGACAATATGGCTTTATTTTTACAGAACAAGAAATTAACTCCTCTACTTATAAATTCTGGTGGTTACGAATCGGGTTGTGAACCTTAAGGTCAGCGGTTCGAAACTACCAGCTGCTCCATGGGAGAAAGATGAAGTTTTCTACTCCTGTAAAGATTTATACCCTTGGAACCCCTGTACAGGGTCGCTATGGGTCGGAACTGACTCAACGGCACTTAACAACAACAACTTACAAATTCCTCAGAGCCTCTCATCTTTCTGAGACTGAAGATGCCCATGATCATTGGGTCACAGGCCAAGCAGGATAGTAGTATCCCCTTGGAGTATTTGTATGATCAGAAGTAGCATGGTAGGGTGGAAAGGTTTATTGGGGGTCAAAATGTTGTTCTCTCATTAATTTTAGCCTTAACTTCTCTGAGCTTCTGTAAGTTGGAGATAAAAACAGCTGTCATGGTGAGTTGTTTGGGGATCATGCAAATATAAAGTTGTTTGTTGTTGTTGGTAAGAACCGTGGAGTCAGTTCCGACTCATAGTGACCCTGTGCAGGGTTTCCAAGGCTGTAAATCTTTACATGAGCAAAACACCTCATCTTTCTCCTGCAGAACCACTGGTAGTTTTGAAATGCTGACCTTGAGGTTATCAGCCCAACTCGTAACCACTACGCTACCAGAGTTGTTTGGGGTTTATATAAAGTCTCTGAACTAAGGGGAGACATTGATGGTACATTGGGAGAATTCTTACTTCCTATATGGGAGATCTGGGTTCAATTCCCAGCTGCTGCACCTCAGCAAGCCACCACCCAGCTGTCAGTGTAGGCTTGAATGGTGCTATGATGCTGAATAGGTTTCAGTGGTGCTTCCAGACTAAGACAGACTAGGAAGAAAGGCTTGGCTCTTCTTTCAATAATCAGCTCATGAGAAAACCTATAACTCAAAGTGGTGTGATCCATAACCAATCATGTAGACAGTGCAGAACTGGGCAGCATTTCCTTTCATTCATTGTACATGGGGTGGTCATGGGATAGGGCCTGATTGACAGCAGTCTACAACAAGAACGAAAACATAGGGTAACTAAAGCCATGGTAGTCTTTATCTTTATGTGACTGGACAGGGAGATTCTATGGGATAGGACTATGGGTAAGTACTATTGCTTTACAGAGCTTCAAAGCAGATTTTCAACAATTTGCATTCACTGAGGGAAATGTGTTGTGTTTTTAATTAGGAGATGAATGCACCCTCATTTCGCGTGGAGAAAGGAGCAGACGGAAACCTGCTTCTCCATTACTACTCTGATAGACATGGTCTGTGTCACATTGTACCAGGTATGGGAACCAGCCCCAGAGCTGTGAGGCCTTGAATGTGACAAAAGCATCCCCACAGAGTACCCAGGATAGCTAGCTGCCGACTGGAGGTAGGGAGTTAAAGCTCTCTCTCCCTCTTATGCAGTCTGACTTCCTGCCATCTTGATCATTGCTTCCAAAGTCTTTGAGCCTTTAAAGTAAGTTTCCAAAGTGCCAACTCGCTTCTGTTTCTCTTCCAACATTTTAAATTATGCTGTTTTTAAGCACAGTTGTAATCATTCAGCCTACCACCTGTCTGTCAATTTGTCACTTTGTGTTGCTGTGTTGCTGGAAACTCTGCCAGCAAGACCTAGAGATCAACTCAGAAAACTAGCCAGTGAAACCCTTATGAATGACAGCAGAATACTGTCCCATGTAGTGCTGAAAGATGAGGTTGAAACGACAGCAATACTGGACTCAGACACACCAGTAGTCATGGAGACAGTGCAGGAATAGCCAGCACTTCGCTCTGTTTTATATAAGGTCATACAGAAGGTCTTCGCGCTTCAGAGATGACTAGATACCAACAACAAAACAATAATTCTGCATGTGTCATTTAGCATCAGCTTTGTTTGTACTGAGCATTATAGGAAAGGTGTCCTTCCATTTTTCAGAGTCTCAACCTACCATTTTAAATGGCTGATGATATTCCATAGTGTGATTATCTTAGCTAGTCTTCTGTGGTTGAACTGTTAGTTGACACTAACCTTTTACTATTTCTAAACAAAGCTGTTATGACTATCTTCATGATAACCCTGGGTTAAATTCCCAGATAAACACCTTTTAATGCTTTTATAGCCAAAATTTGCTTATAAAACCATGACTTTTTTCACTTATTTGTTTTTCTGAAATAATCAAGCAAATAAATAGATGTCAAACAAGAAATTAGAATGGAAGGGATATATTCGGTACCCAGCCATATAGAACTTAAATCTCTACAGAATTTCTTCTTTTTTTTTTGTAACCTGACATGTGCTGTTTCTTAAGGCAGGACCCTGACTTGAAAAACTCAGCAAGACTCATCAGAAGTGGTATGATTTCTGCAGGTATCATTGAGGCTGTGGCCAAGGACTTCTTTGCCATTGATGTGACCATGGATATCATTGGCATGAATGAAGAAGAGGAGAGGACAGGGAAGAAGGAGCATGTTGTGTTCCGTGTTGTTCAGAAGATCCACAGACAGACAAGAAGGGCAAAGTCAAACAGGCCACAGGAAGGCCAAGACATCCAGCGAGACCAAGAGGTACTGAGTTTACTATTGTTCAGAAAGCCAACAGTCTTCCAACAGTCTATACAAAGAGCAGAGTCAATTGGACCTTCTCATAACAGGGTTAAGGAAGAATTTCTCAACCTCAATACTGTGGACACTTTGGACCAGATAATTCTTTATTGTGTAGGGCTTTGTGTGTGTGTGTGTGTGTGTGTGTGCATGTGTGTGTGTGCGTGTGTGTGAAAGAAATCTTTTGTTGTGAATTGAGTGATAGTCTACATGGCAGAACATCAAAACATCAGTTTTGCACTCAACCAATCACATCTTGTTTCATTGTAATAACTACAGTCTCCTTTTCTGATGTACACAAAAGACACATTTTGCAAACCCTGCCCATCAGCACACAGCCTTTCTCTTTCCATGAGTCTAAAGTCCTCAGATGCTCTGTCTCTCCATGCCATCACCTCTGCCTCTATCTCTGGTGTTGATGCTTGTCTGGTTAAGGTCCCATGTTCTGCTCATGCATTTCCTCTTGATGGTCCTAGGGTTCTCTGTTCCTGGAATGTAAGATTAACTACTCCCCTCTTTTTTGTTACACATCTTTCATCTTTGCAATTGTGACAATTGCAATTAGTCATGATTGCAATTGTTGTTGTTAAATGCCATAGAGTCAGTTCCGACTCATAGCGACTCTGTATAGGGTTTCCGAGGAGCAGTTGGTGAGCTTGAACTGCCGACTTTGCAGTTCAAACGGCTTTGCAGTCTGGTGCATTAACCTGCAGCACCACACCAGGACTCCATGATTACAATTACTCACTATTAAATCAAAAGAATACTATCTCCATCTCCTTTTACCAGACCCATCTAGACAAGATGGAAACTATTCATTGTGGAGTCTACCTTCCCCCTCTCACTCTGAAATGAAACTCCCTCATGAAAACTTGTAAGCCAGCCACTTTGTGCCTTTATAGCAAGGAGCTCTGGTAGCGTAGTGGTTACGAATCGGGCTGCGAACCTTAAGGTCAGCGGTTCGAAACTACCAGCCGCTCCGCGGGAGAAAGATGAGGCTTTCTACTCCCGTAAGGATTTACACCCTCGGAAACCCTGTACAGGGTCGCTATGGGTCGGAACCGACTCGATGGCACTTAACAACAACAACAACAACTGATAGCATAGTGGTTACGAATCGGACTGCAAACCTTGAGGTCAGCAGTTCGAAACTACCAGCCACTCCATGGGAGAAAGATGAGGCTTTCTGCTCCCATAAAGATTTACAGCCTTGGAAACCAATCGCTATGGATCAGAACCGACTCAATGGCACTTAACAACAACCACGACACCCCCACTTTAGGTAGCTAATGTCTGAGTTGCCTGTACCTATCAATCCTGTTTACTGAGGGGATGTGCTTGATCCTTATTTGAAGACTCCTTTCCTCTAGGTTGTTATTTTATGCTACTACCTCTGTAAGTTAAGGTCAAGTTCATCAAATTGCAGCAATTTACATTTGCTTCCTGTATCAGATTTCTTCATCTTTCCTTTAGTTGAGCTTTGATCATCAAGCTATCCAAGCTAGGTCAAATGAATACTATCTGCAAGTTTGAGCATCCTTGCATGCCTCTCCCCACTTCATATCAGATGGACAGTTTATTCTCTTTGGCTATGTCAGTGTCCATGTGCTCAGTGGTTCCCAAATATCCCAAACCTCACACCAACCAGCGCTTCTTCTTCTTCCTCTCATCTCAAGGTCTACAAGAGTTTATGGAGCGTGGTCAAGCCCATGTCTTCATTACAGCCTTTCTCCCACTTTCACTCACAGGTAGATCAATATGGTCACCAGCGAGCTTATATGCCTGCTTGTGTGTTCCCTTTGAGTTTCAGTCTTGGGTGATGGTTTGTCCTGAAGTGACTTGATGGCTTGATGACTCCCAGGCAAACATCTTGTTTATACTTGTAATAGCCAAACAGTGTGCTCTTTTTTTTTTCTTCCTCCTCTTTACCTGCTAGTCTTTCTTTCAAGAAATATCTTTTGTTCCTCTAGTAGCTGTGGATTGGTCTGCATGTATTTTCAAGTGAGAATATCCTACCTGCGAAGGTTCTATATGGGGTTCAGATATCTATCTAAGGCCCCATGCTCCACAAAGGCTCCACAAGAAGTCTGTTTCACTGGGTAAATTCTAGAATCCCTTTTAGATATTCTAATCAGTTATAGGCTGAAGACGGGCTTACACACTTTCTGTAATCATATTTCCTGGTATTCAGACCTATCCCACTCAAGTATCCATTTTACGTTAGTAGGCAGGGAAAACCAATATCCATAATACAATCTATCACCTTAACATTATTTCCCCTCTCTTATGCATTCCGATTATGCTTCGATCCCTGTATCACAAAGCCAGGTTGTTCCAAGGTTGGGCATAAACCCCTGTTTACCTCTGTCCCATTTAAGGGCTGTCATTTGCATTGTAGGATGTTTAGCAGTATCCCACTAGATACTCTACCCACTAGATACCAGTAACACATTCCCCTCACCCTTGTTATTTTCAAGCACTACCAAATATCCCCACCCCCACCCCCAGGAAAGGGGAAGGGGGAAAGCCACCTTTGGTTGAGAACTATTGGATTAAGGTAATCTGGTTTCTCTGTAAGTTTTCTCCAGAGAAACAGAATCAATAGGCTATGTAGATACAGATAGAGACACAGACACAGACACAGACATACAGAGCCCTGGTAGTTTAGTGGATTATAAACTGGGCTGCTAACTGCAAGGTCCACAGTTCAAATCTACCAGTCACCAATCACTCCACAGCAGAAAGATAAGACTTTCCACTCCTGTAAACTTTACAGCCTCAGAAACCCTATAGAAGGTTGCTTATGGATTCCTGCTGTGATGCTGCAGGACAATAAGGTCAGTTTGAATAGAAATATCAGTGGTTGAAACCCAGCAGCTAATTCTCGAAATCCCTATACAAGGTCGCTATGGGTTGGAACCGACTTGATGGCATTTACCAACAAATAACAACAATGAGTCAAAATGGACTCAGTGGCATACAACCAGCCAACCAATGGTCATGTAGATATGCACACACACATAGAGGGAGACTGAATTTAAGGAATTGGTTTATGCTATTGTGGGATCTGTCATAGTGGATTAAGTGCTGGGCTGCTAACCACAAGGTAGGTGGCTCGAATCCACAGCCACTTCACTGGAGAAAGATGAGACTATCTGCTCCCATAAAAGTTTACAGTTTCAGAAACATATGGAAAAGTTCTACTCTATCCTATGGGTGACTGTGAATAGGGTGTGGGTCCATGAAGAATCGGTAGCAAATCTGAAATTTTTAGGGAAAGCCAGCAGGCTGAAAACTGAGGAAAAAGTTGATGCTATTGAAAGAAAATCCATAGGACAGGCCACAAGACTGGAAATTCAGGCAAGATTTCTATGTTCCAGTTTTGAGATAGAATTTCTTCTCTTGAACACTTCAGATTTTGCTGTAAATTCTTCAACTAATTGGGTGAGACTCACCCACATTATCAAGGGTAATCACTTGTACTTAAAGTTAACGGATGGTAAATGCTAATCATATCTACAAAATACCTCCACAATGACATTTGGGCCAGTGTTTGACCAAACAACTGACATTATACCCTGGTCAAGTTGGCACATAAAATGAATCTTCAGAACTAGAGGGCCATTATGAAATTTTCTGAGATGTGCCTTAGCCTGAAAGATTTTCTTTTTAAAAACTTTTATTGTGAATTGGGTGAAAGTTTGTAGAGTAGATCATCCGTTTTACAATTTAATACATATTTTGTTTCATATCACTGTTTACAATTCCCTCAATGTAACGTATCCCACTGTTTCCCTCTGTTCCTGCTTCCATTTGTCCTTCATTCCTAACCTTTCCCAGCTTTGTCCTTGGCTAAATGCTGCCCTTTGGATCTCAAATGGCTGATTATTCTAAGATGTGCATACCTCACTCGTGTTGTTCCCATTATAAACCTATCTATTATTTGGCTGAAAATTGAGCCATGTGGGTAAGTTCAGTTCCAAACCTGAAGGGTGACCCAGGGTCATAGTCTCAGTGGTTCCATCAGTTTCTATTCAGCCAGTAAATATGACCTTTTTTACGATTTCGGGTTTTGTTCCACATTTTCTCCACTCTATCCAAGGCCTTGTAATGTGATCCCTTTCAGAGTAGTTGGTAGTGATAGCTGCACATCATTTAGTTCTTCTGGTCTTGGGTGGAGGAAATCGATGTTTGCATGGTCCATTAGTCCATTGGGCTAATTGTTCCCCTGTGTCTTCAATTGCCATCACTCTTCTTTCCTTTGGGCTGTTCGTGAGATTTTAAGACCCAGTGGCTACTCATCAGAGTAGGATATAGAACATTGTCTTTGTAGACTATGTTATGATAATTGACCTCCGTGTTCCCTGAGACTGGTTCTGAGCACTGATCCAGTGACACATAGTCTTAAGGTGTTTGGTTATGTCTAAGATATTTTTTATAACTGCTTCCGTATGCTTCACTACATTCCTGGATATAGTTGCAACAAAAGTAAATGCCCATGTGTAAATATCCTCTGTCAAACATGTGTATATACACTTGTGGGTGTACTCCTACTCTCTCTACCGCACCACAGTCTGAAATTCTATTCATACATCTACTCATGTTGGTAGTGGTTATGTGCCATGGAGACGATGACCAATATTGCAAGATTATGTATATAACAAGGAGATCTGGTAGCGTAGTGGTTACAAATTGGGCTGCGAACCTCAAGGTCAGCAGTTCAAAACTACCAGCTGTTCCGTGGGAGAAAGATGAGGCTTTCTGCTCCTGTAAATGTTTACAGCCTTGGAAACCCTGTGCAGGGTCGCTATGAGTGAGAACCGACTCCACGGCACATAACAACAACAACAACAATGTATATAACAGAATTTACTTCTTTTGCCTTTAACTCTTGCTCTTCTCCCAGTTTCTCCTTCTGCCGCCATCATTTTTTGGCAACTTCCCTCTTATTGTAAATTGCCTTC